GGAGAGCGCCATCCAAGTCATCCTGGTACACATGACGATAAACATTTCGTTTAGAGGCAATTTCGCTGTACATCAACTCACGCACCAAACCGTAGTTGTCTTCGCCCATTTGAAAAACATCAGCCACGACCCGGAATCCGCAGTTACCATCTCCGATTACATCATTCCACCCTTCCAAGTACGACATGATGATCGCAGGTATCCTTTCCTTGTACGGAAACTGATCAACATCGTTTCTTCCTATTCACCAAATAATTAATTATAGACAGTTAAGAAGACAGGAGTAACACTTTAAAACTATGTGCAATAAAAACAACCAAAACGTACCAGTTCTCAGGGGCATATTCACAGACGATGAAGATTGACTACGACTAGATGACGATGTCCGACCACGAGAACGACCACGACCAAGACCACAGATATACTCAAACGCACTCCTGTTCCGCCGTTGTCGACCTCGAGGACGGTCAACTCCTTCGGGTTCCTCATAATCTAAGTTAGACGGGTGGAACATGTCATGAAGCACATGAGTAGCGTCACGAATAATAGAAGGATGGCTGGAGGACACTCGGTCGTACATCGAACGGAACTGCTCCAACTCTTCCTGTTCACGGTCGGCCGTTTGATTGTCTGCATGCTCACCAATAACAAGCGTCCTCCAGAATGAATGGACCTGATCAACATGTAACGACGCCCTTTCTTCTGTAATAACGCGATGAATGGTGCATGCGCAAGGTAATCCATGAGTTACTGAAATAGTACACCCACACCGAGTATACACTTCGTCAGCCAAGTCCCTCACCCTGTCCAGCTCAGTGAGAATCAACCCCAAGCAGTAGTGCGACACACGACCATGGAGAATCTTAAATATAAAATGGCTATACATCGTACCATGTCGTCGTCTGGAGTCCTCTAGAGAGTTCCTGATGTCGTTCTTCTGAGTTTCAATTGACTTGTTCAGTCTAGCGAACAGTGTATCCAAAGCAGCGGTCGATGAATAAATCCAGTCCTTGGTAGCTCTATGAGCGCTCTCAACTCTACATGTTGTAGTGTTCCCAAAATGAAGTACCTGGTTTGTCCAATATTTGACAAACTTTTCCCTATGAGGGACCCATTGATGCATCACATAGTCCACCAGTGCCGGACACCACTGGTACGAATCCCTGAAGTTAGCCAATGCTCGCTCATACGCTTCCTCTGTGGTAGCCTGTAGGATCTTCCGCCACTTACCATTCACCAATCTCTCTGCCATTTCCAAATTCTTCTTGAAAAGGTTGTAGGCTTTCACTTTCACGCAGTTGTTGATGTGCCATGTGCACAATAAGTGGTTCGATTCGGGAAACAGCTCTGCTATGGGGGCAAAGAGACCTCCCTCACAGTCGCTGACGATGGCTGCTGGATGAACATTAGGCCCGATGTAGTTTCTCAGCTTCTCCAAAACCCAATAATAACTTGGAGTCGTCTCATCCCTGATGATTGCATGACCAATCAGAAAGTTCTGGTTCGTTGGAGCCATCCCAACCATCTCAACCAGAGGGAACTTGTACTTGTTTGTCTTGTACGTTGACTCGATCAAAATCACAAATGGCCAAGACTTGATCATATCAGCAAAATCAGGATGCACAAGGAAAAGATGAGTCACCTCCGCTGTATCTTCATCAGAATCAAACCAGAACAGGTAACCACGTGATTGTGCCTGGTGTAGCAGCTGTTGTATAGGGTTCCTTCCCTCTGACCGTTCAAACCTGAGTTGCTGTCTGACGTTGTAGATGTGTCTTCGGTTTAGATGGTCTTCTGGAAATTTCTCTAACACAGATGCTAATATTTTAGCAGGCTTCACTTGAGCATCACTCATTTCTTTCACAACTAGTTTCGCAGCAGGACTTAAGCCGCTCAGTTGTCGATGACCCTCTTCATATACTATCATCTCATGGTTGTGATACCCCCATTTAGAGTAACCTATCACTTCCCAACCGTCACGACTCCGTAGTTGTCGAACCTTTACTCTGAACTCACACCCATAACCTTTCCGCTTTGTGTCAAACCGAGTGGCTGTACGAAAATGTCTTTCTTCTCTTTTGCGATAACGGTCACATATCAAAATGCGATCCATTCTACCATCCCGTTGAGATTTATGAGTTGCTACTACCAAGCAAAATCCAGCTGCAATTGCAACCTGTTTTGCCCAATCAATCGCCTGTTGAGCTTCTTCAAATGGACCATCATGTCCAAATATCTCACTGTAATCATTTCCGTCTCCACCATATTCCTGCATCAATTATATATTACAATAAATACATTTAACGGATAATACATTTAATTTCTATATTTTCACATAATTAACACAAAAAAAAACATAATTATATATAATCAAACTTAATTTTTATAAAAACCCAATTCGAATTTTCAAACTAAATTTAAAAATATACCATTTCGAATTTTCAAATTTAATTTTAAAAAAACCTATTTCGAATTTTCAAATTTAATTTACAAAAAACCCATTTCGAATTTTTTTAAAAAATCATTTTCGATTTTTTATTTTCACAAAAAAATTAAATAAAAAACAACAACAAAATCAAAAAGGAAAAAATAAAAATTAATTATTAAAGGTGGCGTCTGCCAGGGCTGCCACACCCACTGGACTGGCGCCTGGCAGGGCCGCCTCACCCAGTGGAGTGGCGTCTGCCCAGGACGCCAGTCTGGTGGTCTGGGCGTCTGGGCTGGACGCCACTCTGGTGGTCTGGGCGTCTAGCCTGGACGCCACTCTGGTGGTTCTGGCGTCCGGCTTGGACGTCCAGGCTACGGTTTGGGCGTCCACCCTAGGCGCCGGAGCCACTACGACGGTAAACCGTGAATTTTAGCGGTCACTTACCTCGTTTGCCGTCGACGACGACGTACCTCCGGCGTCCCCCGCATCTCCGGCCTGCCATCCGGTCTCCCCCGGCGAGCCAGCACGGCTCCACATTTTTTACACCGAGATTATCTCAATTTTAGCAAAAGGGCATAATGGTCAAATCATAACATATTTGTGGGATTTATATGGTAAATTGCGGGCGATGTTTAGCGTTTCACCCCATTAATGAGGGTCCTTCCACTATTTATAGTGGGGAAGGGATGGTTTCCCTTTTAGGGTTTAGAGGACACGTGTCAGCAGAGGATTGGAGCCCTGCTGACCAACGGCTGGATGCCACGTGTCACTAGGCCATTGGGCCACGTGTTTAGGGTATTTTTACCCCAAACATTTGCCCCTCACTGGTGCTGACGTGGCAGGGTGCCACGTGGCGCCAGTGAAAGTTTTTTTTTTTTTTTTTTTTTTTTTTTACAACTCTTCAGATTCTTTTTGAAGGATGGAAAAGCAGAAGGCGAAGAGTCACGACTTTTCACCTTCTGGGACAAATTCTATAAATAGGAGAAGATGTCCCCCGAGCTCTCATTTACAAACTTTGCCAAATTTCTGAAAATTTGAGAGCAGCCGGCAATTTGAGAGTTGAGAGCATTCGGAGTTGAGATTCGTTGAGAGCAACCGGTCTACAGACCGTCTGGTTCGTTGCAAGCTAGCCAAAGGTTTTCGAGAGGGTAATCAGAGAAACCCAGCCGGATTTTGAACCGCGTGCGTCTTCGCAAGCATCCCAAAGAATTTCCAGATTTTCTTCTAGGTACCGTCTCTATTCTTTCTAGCTTTTTCATGTATTTCCGTTTGAGTCTTTTACTCGCATTTTTGTTCATTGGTCCCATAAGTAGATGGACCCCTTATACCCATACCCGGAACCTAGCTGTGAACTCAGCCGGTTTATTAGTACGGCTGAGTCTAGAACTGGGTCTGCCGCCTCTGTTCTTTGGGACAACCCTTTTTCAACACCCATATCGACCGACTCTGTGTCTGTGCAGGACACAATGGCCAGAATCCGGTCTACTGCCAGAGATCCCAACTACAGAAGTGGGAGCTCAGATGAGCAGCCGCCTGAGGTCCCAGCTTCAGGCGGTGAAGTAGAGCAAGGAGAGGTAGAGCAGAGAGGCTCACCCGGGGGCGCTCCTAGCACCCCGGGTGATAGCATTTTAAACGAAGAGACTGCTCCCCTCCAGGAGACCAGAGAGCAGGTAGGCTCTGATAAGGAGGTCTCCAACTCCCCAGCCGGCTCTGATGCCGGTCACGTTTAAAGTAGCAGTAGCAGCTACTTAACCGAATCTGAGGATAGCGAGGAGGCGGAGAGGCCTTCTTGGGATAATAGGAACGATCCTCTCATGATCGCCGTCTCCTCTAAGGACTGCGAGCTCATGCGGGCTACGCTGCCAGATTTTATCAAACGGCGGCCGCTGGGGGGTGACTATACAATAAAAATCCCGGCTGCTCTGGGAACAATATGGTGGGAGGATGGACAACCGAACGCGAACGCTTGGTTCGGGTGCTACGAGGCGGCCTTCGTGGCCGGAGTCCGCTTCCCTCTCCACGACACAATAAAAGCCATACTTAGGGGGTATGGCCTAGGTCTCTGGCAATTAACCCCCAACTCATGGGTAAATATTTTAGGGTATATCGCCGCCTGCGAGATGCAGGGCCTCAACCCCGGCTGGGAGGCGTTTGCCCACATGCATTACTTGAGTAGGAGCCCAGGCGGCTGGAGAGCCTGGTATACCTTGACCACCCAGCCCAAATACCTTATGACCTTGGACAAGCCATCCAAATGGTCGGACTGGAAGCACCGGTTCTACTTGGTTAAGGCCCCAACTACGGCAGAGAACAGAGAATTCCGGATCTACAACCGGAAACCAAAACTCTTGGGGACCAAGTGATGCCTGCCCCCCGTCCCGGAGGATGATAGAGAGACCATCCTTGACTCCGGGTTTTTTGAGTTAGTTCCTGACACCCTCTCATCCGGAGAGATAGTAAGGGTACCTAGAAACTGGGTGCCCAAACATGAATTTTTTAGGGACGAATGCTTCTTGTCCGCTTGTGGTCTAAGCAGCATGTTTAAAAAACGTATGTATTCGGAACTCCGGCGGTTTCTTTCGAACCGGATGCTTTTATTTCCTTTCTTATTTATTATTCTAACCGTGTGCCTTCCTCTGCAGAAGAAGCCAAGAAAATGCTGCCCACCGAGAAGACACCGGCTAGGTCGGCTGCCGACATCCGGAAAGCCAATCTCGAGAAAAAACTTGCTGCCCATGCGGCGAGGAAGGTATAACCGTCTGATCCTTCTCGTTTATTTCAATCCTTTTATCCCATAACTTATATTTTTCTCGTTTACAGGACGGGAAGCAGATGCCCCGGTCCCTTCAAAAACAGGTCAGGCCTCCGCCGACCCAACAAGAGTTTGCATCCAAGGTGCAGAAGACAGCCGACCGGCAAACTACCGGCGGCAAATCAATAAAGGTCCCAGGCGGGCCTGGATCTGCGGATGTGCTTTCTGCCATCCCATTGAGGACCGCAACCGGTCCCTCTGAAGGCCGTTCGGGCCGCCAAGGTAACTTCGACCTTACACTGCTTGACCTGCCCATGCGGGTCAAGTCTTATTCACAGTCTCGATCGCAGCCGGGGGATTCTCCAATCAGCCGGCAATCTATAGGCAGAGCATATGCGAGTTTCTCACCGTCTGTTTCTGGTGCAGATAATTCTCCCCGCTGGCCGGACGGGGCACAATATGCCCGGGCCATGCTGAAAGCCGTCCCCAGGGACGAGAAGGAGGCGATCCCTGGGATCAACTCCTTTAATGCCGAACGGGTGTTGGTCGACCTGGCCGACGTATGCTCCAACAACCATGCGGTAATTTTCTTGACGTGCATTTTTAAATATGCAGTATTAACCGGCTGTATTTTTGCAGGCTATGCTGCGCGTAGAGGGGCTCAAACGAGCTTATACCCGCAAGTCTGAAGAGGTAAGGAGAAGCAAACGGGCTGTTGATGACGCCCATAATGTTGCTGACTACTCTTTGTACATGCATGGCTTAGAATCTAAATCTATACGCATGGAACAGGCGGAGAAGACCAAGGCCCTCCAACAGCAGATTGATCAGCTGAAAAACCAAGTTGACCAACTGCAGGCGTCCCTGGATGATGCCAATAAAAAGTTGGAGGAACAGAAAGAGCCCCTCCAACGGCTGAGCAAGGCGGAGACTGAAAATGGCCGCCTTGCCAAAGAGAATGAGCGCCTGCGCAAAGAGGCGGCTGCTGCCAATGAGAACTTCAAGGCCACCTTGGAGTCGGAGCAGGAGAGGCTCATTGAAGAGAATGAGCATGACTGTGCAAACCGGATGCAACGGGCGTTTTCCCTCATCCACCCGGAGGCGGACTTCACCGTCTGGGAACTCGCCTTCAAATATTCTGATCTTGCCATTCTGGCCGAGGAGGCGAATGAGCCGGGGCCCGGACCCTATGACGCTTGGGTTAGGGAGGAGATTGCGCGACGGCAGGCGGAGGCTGCTGAAGAGGAAGAAGTTGTTCCTGAAGCCGACGCAGCCGCTCACCCTGATCCAACCCAGAACCAACTGGAAGAGGACCGGTTCACTGTTCGCCTGGAGTAGCAACTACTTCCCGGCCTGCGCGCCTTGCATTATCTTGTAATAGCACCGGATGAGATGGGCTAAGCTGTAATAATTTTTATTTTGAATATTAACATTTTCACTGGCTGAGCCGGCTTTTGAATGCTTTTTATGTTTCTGCACTTCAATACTAGAATTCTTGTTATTTTTTTATACATATTTCTGCGAGGATAACCAAAAGAACCCGCCGGTAACACTACCGCTTGGGTCTTCGCAAACAGCAAAGAAATTTGCAAAGGTTTCCAAGAGGACCCCACCGGTAACACTGCCGTTTGGGTCTTCGCAAACTAGGCGAAGAAATTTGCAAGGGTTGCCAAGAAGACCCCACCGGTAATACTTCCGTCTGGGTCTTCGCAAACTAGGCGAAGAAATTTACTAGGGTTGCCAAGAAGACCCCACCGGTAACACTGCCGTCTGGGTCTTTGCGCAAACTAGGCGAAGAAATTTACTAGGGTTGCCAAGAAGACCCCACCGGAACACTGCCGTCTGGGTCTTCGCAAACTAGGCGAAGAAATTTACTAGGGTTGCCAAGAAGACCCCACCGGTAACACTGCCGTCTGGGTCTTCGCAAACTAGGCGAAGAAATTTACTAGGGTTGCCAAGAAGACCCCACCGGTAACACTGCCGTCTGGGTCTTCGCAAACTAGGCGAAGAAATTTCGACCCAAAACCAAACCGGATGGCGTCTGGGTAATTGCCCCTGGATAGCGGTCTGGGTCTTTGCAAGCCAGGCGACTATCCATATGATATAGCTCGAATATACACTAAGTTCCAACATTAGATTCGGGAGCCAGTCGGTTTATACTGAATTACCGGTCGGGACTTCGCAAAAGAATCACGCCAGATTAGGATGTCCATTCACCGGTTGGGCTTTTGCAAGCATACCCCTGAATGAATTATGGCCTAGGCCAAATGTTTTTAGGCCTGCTCTTAGAGAGTCAGGCGGCGGTATTGAGTACCGGCTGTCCTTCCAAAAAGTGAGTCGGCTGCAAGTTTGGGGTTGCTAGCCTGCCCTTTTTTGGTGCGAAGGATCGTCAGGCGGATTTGTCCGCCTGTGTGATCGCTTAGAACAATTTACCACCCAAATGGGAGATGTTCTCTTCGATGAATTCACCCGTATGGGTGTCACCGGATGAAAAAATTAGTTACTGGTGCCGCTTGTGGTAGGCACAAGACATGGCGGCTGTATACAAAATTGAATGTAATTCTCATTAATCATTTGAAAATTTTCAAAAGATGTACAATACTTAGAAGTAGTATTTTTTGAGGTTATCTACATTCCAAGTTCTAGGCAACTTTCTTCCGTCTGGAGTTTCCAGGCGGTAAGTGCCGTCTCGTACTTCTTCAAAGATCCGGTAGGGTCCCTCCCAATTTGGGGTTAATTTGCCTTGTTCATTGGCCCTACCGGTTGCCTCCATTTAGCGAAGCACAAAATCTCCTTCTTTCAAAGGTCTTTTACGAACCCGCTTGTTGTAGGCTCTAGTCATACGCAGACGGTAGATCTCATGACGCAAGGCAGCATTCCCCCTTCGCTCTGGAAGAGCGTCTAATGCCAACCGCATGGCTTCCCAGTTAGCCTCCTCATCATATAACATAATGCGTAGAGTAGGCTCATAATGTTCAATGGGAAGAACTGCTTCAGTGTCGTATGTCATGAGAAATGGGGTCTCACCGGTTGCCCCCTTTTCGGTTGTCCGGATAGCCCAAAGGACATGAGGTAATTCCTCTGCCCATAGTCCACCGGCTCTTTCTACTTTCTTCTTTATCCCGTCTGAGATCAACTTGTTAAAAGCCTCAACTTGACCGTTTGCCTGAGGACGGCCAACGGATGCAAAACAATGGGAAATTCCTTGGTCTCCCAACCAGGTCTTCAGGACAGGCGTTTCGAACTGCGGTCCGTTGTCGAAAACCATGGACATTGGAACCCCGAACCGGGTGATGACGTTTCTCCAGATGAAAGAAATCACGTCTTTCGTTTTAATCCCTTTTACCGCCTCTGCCTCAACCCATTTGGTGAAGTAGTCTACTGCTACAAGAATGTAGCGGCGGCCGCCTGATGCAGGCGTATAAGGTCCCAAAATGTCCATGCCCCATTTAGCAAACGGAACCGGACTATGGATTGCCGTGAGTTCTGTTGCCGGTTGATGTATCAACTTAGCGAATTTTTGGCACTTGTCGCATCTCTTTACTAGATCCATGGCATCCGCTTCAAGAGTGGGCCAGAAGTACCCTTGCCGTCTGGTTCTTCTGGCCAGGGACCTGCCGCCAATATGCGAGGAACAAAACCCCGCGTGCAGATCTTCCAAAACTTCTCTCCCCCTATCCGGGGTTACACATTTCAAAAACGGCTGCAGGTATCCCTTCCGGAGGAGTTCCCCTTGATGCATAACAAAACTTGAAGCACGCTTCTTGAGCGCTGATGCTTCTGAAGGGTCATCCGGCAAGGTACCATCCGTCAAAAAGGACCGGATGGGATCCATCCAGGTAGCAGTTCTGTCCAAGTCTCCAATGGGATCATTCTGAATACTTCGTTTTTCAATGACTTCCCAAAAGACCGTCCTAGGAGCATCACCGGAGGCTGATGATGCCAACTTTGAGAGGGCATCCGCCTGATTGTTTTCAGACCGGGGCACCTGTCGCAGATGAAATTCATCGAAGGACCCAGCCTCCTCTTTGACCGCCTGCAAATATTTGATCATAGCCGGATGGGTGGCTTCGTAGTCACCAAGGTATTGGCTAACGATCAGCTGTGAATCTGAGCAGGCGTCGACCTTTCTTGCACCGGCTGCCTTACACATGCGCAATCCGGCTAGCAGGGCTTCATACTCTGCCTCATTGTTGGAGGCTTGGAACTTAAACCGTAGTGCATATTCAAACTTATCCCCTTCCGGGGAATGACAGATAACACCTGCACCACAGCCGTTCACCGTAGAGCTGCCGTCTACAAATAACTTCCAGACCTGATCAGGGTTTTCCGGGTGCACCGGCCTAGTCATCTCGACAATAAAGTCGGCAAACGCCTGACCTTTCACTGCCCGCCTGGGTTCAAAAGTTATCTCAAGGCCTTGTATTTCAACAGCCCACTTGATCATTCTACCGGATGACTCTATAGCAGTCATCGTACGCTTGAGCGGCTGATGTGTGTATACCACAACCGGATGTCCCAAAAAATAAGGCTTCAACCGCTTGACTGCTACGAATAAGGCCAACCCAAATTTTTCGATCATGGGGTACCGGAGCTCAGCATTTTTAAAGACATGGCTGATGAAGTACACCGGCAGCTGAATGCCGTCTCTCTCAGCGAGGAGAACGACACTAAGGGCGTGATCAGAGACGGCTAGGTACATGTACAGAACCTCCCGGGGTAGGGGGCTCACTAGCCTTGGCAAAGAATGCAAGTGCTGCTTAAGCCTCTAGAATGCCGCCTCTGCTTCTTCACCCCATTCAAACCTTGACCTCTTCCTGATTGCCTGGAAGAAATAGAGGCACTTGTCACCTGACCGGCTGAGGAACCTCCCCAATGCCGCCAGACAACCGGTCAACTTCTGGACCTCTTTTACAGTGCGGGGAGACTTCATGTCAATTACCGCCTGTATTTTTTCCGGATTAGCTTCGATGCCTCTTTGGTCAATCAAGAATCCGAGAAACTTCCCAGACTCAACACCAAATACGCATTTCTTTGGGTTAAGCATGACCCGGTGCCGCCTGAGTGTGGTGAAGGTTTCTCGCAGGTCTGCTAGGTGATCCGTCTGTAGCTTGGATTTGACTATCATGTCATCGATATACGCCTCTACATTCCTGCCAATCTGGTTGATAAAAACGGTGTTTATCATGCGCTGGAATGTAGCCGGTGCATTCTTCAACCCAAACGGCATCACCGTATAGCAGAATAACCCCTGATCAGTGACAAAAGCCGTCTTCTCCTGATCTTTCTTCCAGAAAGGTATTTGATGGAAGCCGGAATAAGCATCCATAAAGCTCATTAACGCATGGTCGGCTGTTGAGTCGACTAGGCTGTCAATCTTTGGAAGCGGGTAGCTATCTTTTGGGCATGCTTTGTTCAGATCTGTGTAATCCACACACATCCGCCAAGTACCGTTCGGCTTCTTTACTAGAACGACATTTGCCACCCAATCCGGGTAGTAGCATTGCCTAATGAACCCAGCATCCAACAGCTTTTTGACCTCAGCCGCTGCCGCTTGAGATCTTTCTCCACCATGATCCCTCTTTTTCTGCCTAACCGGCTTCTTTTTGGGATCTACGGCTAGCTTGTGGACAGCAAGATCCGGGCTGACGCCTGGCATCTCTTCCACTTCAAAGGCAAAGATGTCTTTGAATTCCTTC